CCAAAAAGATGTTAGCTAAAAAAAAAAAAAAAAAAACTCATGGAAACCAGGCTCCTCATCAGACGTGAAAGGCAAGCCAATTTCCAAAACACTTTCCTTTCTGATTCTGTATGGCTCCTCAGAAAAACATCCTGGGCAAGAACCTCTGGCTCTGGGAGGCCACATGGTAGCAGGCAGTAAATGGTAATAATAAGGAGCACCCTTTCAGCATAAAGTAACCCATGTCTTGGAAGCCTGGCCTGTGTCACTCTCATTCCTGCCTTCTCAACATTTTTTCTAATCTGTGCAAGTTGTTGTGTCCAGGTCCCCGGACAGGCCAAATTCCTTCACACATCTGTTGCCCAATCTCAAAATGCCCTTCTTTGTCAACTTTGTCCATCTTAATTCTTCCCATCTTACGCTGCCTAATTGGAATCACATCTCCATAAGCCTTCTTCCTTTCTCCATATCCTGTCCCAGAGTTTGTCTTGGTTTTACTCTCCATAGCTTCCCAGTATTCTCAGAGGCCAGTCACTGGTCTCCTGTGCACCTCCTCCCCACACCAGGCCAGAGCTGGCTGTAGGAAGCTATCCCCCTGCTGTGTTGGCCCTTGGCTCAGCCAGGCACTGGATAGCTGAATGGTGGATAGTTCACTGATGCTCTGGGTGTTCTGGCATTCTTCCTTAAGTGGCGTTTTTTTGTTTAATTGTTTGTTTTGGGGGTTTTTGTTTTGTTTTGTTTGGCACAAGGATGTCTCAGTAGTTACAGTGGAAGTTCCAGAAGTGGGAATGATATTATTTAAAGAAATTTTCTTAGACTCTATGAGCTATCCATAGCTGATGAAAGAGCGACATCAGGAGATTATGACTGAGAAACCTGGAGAAAACTAGATTGAGACAAAAGATAGGGGCAAAATTGAAAAATAAAAGAGCAAAATAAATTGCAAATAGATAAAAGTTGTGTTTTTTCGAAACTGTAAAATGCTAGGAAAATATATGGGAGATTTTGTATATGTTAGCATACACAAGCTCTGTTTGATCCCCAGCACCCCTTGATATGCTACATGAAACACATCAAGTCTTAGCAAAGAGTTGGACTTTGGAAGCATAGCATGAAACCCAGATGACATAAAAAAATTTATAAACATTTATATGTAATATTTATAAATTATAAAACTTTATAAAGCTAAAAATTATAAAAATGTTCAGCATTGGTGACTAAAGGCAGATTCCTTTTATATACAAAGAGCTCTTACAAATTATTGCAGATAAAGTGAGCAGCTGAAGGTTTAAACACAAATCCAGAGAAGGAAATTCAAATATTTTTAAAAGCATAAAAAGGATAGTCAGCCTCACTTTTAATATAGTTGCAGTTTAAAACAATGAGCTATTTTCTATTTATTCTCTTGGCAAAAGGTTAAAAAGTTCAATAGTGGGGCCAGGGATTTAGCTCAGTGATGCCGCCACCTGCCTTGGAAGCACAAGATCCTGAGTAAAATCCTTGGTACCAAAAAAAAGAAAAAAGTTTAATAGTGGTCTAGGGTGACCAGATTATGGGAAAACCGGATTTCTCTTGCTGAACATGTAATGTGGTACATAGCTGTATGTCCTAAACTGTTGTACAAATATATTACCACACCATTGTTTTCAGTAGCAAAGTATCTTAATCTGAATTCTGTCCAAGGGGGACAGACAGGTCCATGAAATGGAATAGTTTATAGCCATTAAGGAAATGAGGCTCAGGGTTGAGGATTTAGCTCAGTGGCACCGAGCCTGCCTTGCAAGTGTAAGGCCCTGAGTTCAATCCCCGGTACCAAAGAAAAAACAAAATGAGGCCCATCCCTAATAGAGTGGAAAATAGTGATTCTCAGAACTTACTACCTAGTAGATTGCCATTTATGTAAAGATAAAAAAGGGGGAAGCCTGGGTGTAGCTCAGTGGCACCACACTTGCTTGGCAAGTGCAAGGTCCTGAGTTCAGTCCCCGAAAAGGGGGGTAGGATAAACAAGCAGGTTATAAATGAAGAGAAAGTGTCTGGAAGGCTGACTAGTAAGTAATATGTTGGTTACTTTTTACTGAAACAGACTGTGAGATGATGGGGTTTTCAAAGAAGGAACTTCATTTTTACTACAGACCCTTTTGGACTGTTTGAATTATTTTTATAGTGTGTGTCTGTGTCGCCTATTTTTTAAAATTAAGTTTTAAAAATAGCTAACATAGTTATGAAATAAGGCTAGACCCAAGGTATCATATAAACTAGGTTTGGTAGGTTAAGTGTCAGAGAGCAAGCAGATACATGAGGGAAGCCAATCTACAGGGCTGCAGGACAGGTCAGTAGCAGAGACCACCATGCAAACCAGTTCCACCTCAGGTCAAGGTATCTGACAGATTTCTCATGGTCAAGTAGGTGCCAGCTCCAGGATGTGAGCAATTCAGATAAAGTGGGGAACAACCTTAGGGGAAATGAGGAAACTATTCCTTTACAGGGCATGAAAAGTTTGAGTCAATAGGGCCAGTTGCAGTGTCATCCTGGTCGTATAGTGGAAGTAGAGGAGAAAGGCATGGACAGGCCCTGGGTAGAGGAGAGAGTGTGTTTCAAGGTCCCTGTACCACCCTGCTGTAGCCTCCTGCCCTTACCTGCTTGCTGGACAATCGGCCCACCAAGAGTATAGCCTCCTCCATGGTCAGGATGAAACGAAAGTCCTTTTTTTTTTCCTTTTGTATCTAGACCTCCAAATTCAACTACTTACTGTTTCTACCATGTTCAAAAAGTAAATGAGCCATTTATTGGGAAAAGAATCTTAGCCCCAGTGTGTGTTACTCTTGTATGTCTGTAATGCAATTGGCTAATTTAAGTCTGTAGATAAGATTTTTCACATGTGGGTGCAATTCTCCTCCAAAGCACCAAAACCCTGATTTTCAAAGCCAAATTATTTCTTTCCAAAAAATTTCTGCACATAAGAGAGGAAGGTTGTTTCTCCCACTCACAACTCACCTTGTTTTCAATAAACTTAGGATGGGACCTTGGGTTTTACTTGTTTTCTGTTGATTTGGAGGCGGAGCATTGGGTTTTATCTGTTTGGTCCACATATAACCCTGTCCTCCACTAGATGCACTTCGACTTATTTTCTCACTTGAGTTGCTGAACTGGTGATATATATGCCAGAGCAGCATCACCTGCCTGGTAGAAAACACTCATTTTCTCCTTCCTGTGAGCCAGGCCTCAGGGAGAGAAAATATCAGTTTATATTCTGTTCTTTGTCTTTCTAGGCAAAATCCATGTTTGGTGACCAGAGCTGTATATATTGATATTCTCTTCCTGTTGACTTACTGCCTCGACAAACCCACAAAGGGCAACCAGCCAGGTATGACTCATAGTTATATCCTATTTTGGATAAGGGTTGTAAGCCTTTGAGGTGTAGGTGGGGTCTTCAGAGCTGTACCACTCCCCACTCTCACCCCAGTCTCCTTTGGTTAATTCTCCAGAATTGCACATCAGAATTCAGCAGTGTGATATGGCTCCCTCCTAGAAACTTCTCAAGGAAACTTGTCCTTGTTTACTTGAAAGTTTGCTGTTAAATGTTTTCTCTTTGACCATCCAAGGAAGAGTGTGAACTCTATTCAGATACCCTCCGTGTCTCAAAGACCTTGACTTTTTCTTAGTTTATGCATTTTCTTCAGAAGGTCATCCTTTTCAGTGACTGTTTGCTCTGTTCCATCCTGTGGAGATAACTGAGTTGGCTCATTTAGTGCTGGAGTCAGGACATTTGCATCCTTTTCTCAAATCCACTCCCTATTAATGTAATGTATTATTAATGTCTCCTCAGGCTCAGACATCATACTTGTTTCTAGGTTATGTATGTTTCTGGGTGTGCATCCCAGATCCACATACAGTTGTTCTATTTTAATCACAATTCATGAAGTAGTGTCTTTTTTTTAAAGGGAGAAGGGCAACTCCAAATAAAAATTTTTGATGTGTTTATATAAGAGGCTGCAGGAAGTGCTCTACATGAGTTCCAGGCCACAGACTGAACCTGATTCTCATCAACACAAACTGGAATGTAGAGTAATGAGCCTGCAACTGGTTAAAATCAGCCTTTTCTAATTGAATAGGCCTGACTCAAGGGGGCTACAATTACAGTTGAATTCTGAGTTCTAGAAGGCCAGGCCTCTCTGTTACATTGAGTCTGTCAATGATTTGTTGTCTAGAGTAAATACGTTCAGGCTCTCAGGGTCCAGCTCTGTCCATATGAAAGCCTGTTCCAAATTCAAACCAATTTACAATGCTTTGCGGAGGGGGGGCGTTCACCTCATCCATATAGATTAAATGGACCCACAAAACTCCTGTGGCCAGGCAGAGATAGTACGAGCGCTGGACTGGCCTCTCCTACATCCCTCATAGGGGCAGCTGTGTATACATTCAGTGGTTTGAGAACAGAGAATTTTATAACTATAAAATAAGGCACAGCTTATGCCATTTGTCTTGGCATAATTATGAATAGTGTACCCTTTTATTGCAAGTATCCAGATTTGCACAACGAATTATAAACCACCCTACCTATAAGGAACCTCAGTATCACATCTACTTTAATTTACACTTGAATCAACTGAGGTCCAGAAATTTTATAAAGAGACTATAAATCAGATGTTATCAAGTAAATTGTTTTAGATTTCTACCATCTGTGTATTTCAGTTCCAAATTCCACACAGCTTTATAATACAGTACTTACCTGCTTATGCATTTAAAGGGATCTGTCCACTGGGACCTTATAGACTCATGTGGTTAACTGTAATCATTAGTTTATTTGAACTGAGTTTTTCTTGGCTCGTTTAGTATCATCGTTCCTTGTTTGAAAAGATTAACCCGTGAGTGTTGTAAAACCTTTCTCTTCCTCAATTTCTGTCCTTTACTGATAAACTGGGCTCCTGTGAAGATGACTTTGGCTTTTTTTAATCCTTCTTTCCTCAAAACTCTTAACATAAACCTACCAATTGAGTGTGACCACAGCTGTTTTTTGTTACTTAAAGGCATGTACCACTCCTCAAAATGTTCTTCCTTTGCAGCATAAAGTGTGGTGGGAAGGGGCACTTTATTCTACTCTGATGGCTATAGCTCTACATATATTGTTCTGCACTATCTGTTAAAGCAGTTCCTAATCATGTGGCACTTGACCACTTGAGATGTGGCTGGTACAAACTGAGATATAAAATATACCACATTTCAAAAACTTTGTATAAAAAAATTAAAATTCTTCCAATAAAACTTACATTGAATACATTTGGAAAGGTAATATGTTTGACATCAGATAAAATGTATATTTAAAATTAGTTTCATTGCTTGCTTTTACTTTTTTTTTCTTTCTTTTCTTTTTTTAAAATGTGACTACTTAGATCAGAAAATTATGAATCAGAAAAATCAAACCACCATTGAGATATATAAATTTAACAAATGGAGAGGTGTGAAAAGTTATTAATTACTTATTGCAGAAAGCAAGGTGGTATGTAAACATAACATTGGTAAATGAAAAATATGTGTCTACTAGAAGTTTCAAATGACATTTATTTATGAGTTATATTTTACTCCTGTTAGCACTAGTTTTGTCCAGACTTTTGTGATTCGCTTCGTACTCCACAGACTACACACTGGGTGTGTGTCTTTATCCCCCTATATGTGTTCATATAACACATCCACACAAACAGTAATAGCAGTTTCCCTCCTGAAAATGGATTAGATTTTTAGAATTAACCAAATGTCAAATAAAATGGTGAGTAAGATGGATTACATTCTTTGATATAAAAATACACTGACACATTAAAAGAGTGGATACTGTTCTTGTGTATTTCATAGATTGTTTCCAAAGGCAGTTTGAGCAGTAGATAAATATATCACAAGTAAGGAGATAATTTATTTGGTTGTGTAGATTTCTGTGTTTTCAAAATAATGTCATGATATTATAGTTTTGCCCTGAAAGAATGGACCATGTCTTAGATTCTTTGTCAGCTAAGCACATAGCAGACCCTCATTAAATTGATTTGTTACTAACTGATTGATTGAAATGTAGTTTTGCTCAGGGTTTTGTTTTGTTTTGTTAGTTGTGTTGTTTTTGTTTTTGAAATAGGGTTTCACCATGTAGTTCATGCTGGCCTTGAACTCACTGTATTTCCCAGGCTGGCCTCAAACTCAAGGCAATCTTCCTGCCTCAGCCTCCCAAGTTCTGGAATTATAGGTGTGCACCACCATGCCTGGTTTCAATTTTTAAAACAGTATGGTTGGTATTAAATTCCAAGTGTTAGGCAGGCATAGTGGCACATCCCTGTAATCTTAACACTCTGGGAGGTTGAGTCGGGAGTATAGCAAGTTTGAGCCCAGCATGGGCAACTTAGCACCTTAGCAAGACCCTATCTTAAAATTTAAAATTAAGTTAAATTAAATTAAAATTAAAAAAGACTAATGATATAGCTGAATGTAAAGAGCCTGGGTTTGAGCCAGGACCATAAAAGAAAAGATCCAAATCTTACTTAAACTCATGCATCAATCAGATGCTAATTTAATTTCTGAATTCAAATGAGATATTTATATCATATGTGTGTTTAAAAATACTTATATATCTGCATCTGTTATGATCTCACAAACCTCAGGATGGGAAGTATACCACATAGACTCCAAAGGCAGATCCTTGAGTTTGAATCCTAAATAGCTCATTTATTTCCTAACTTTAGGCAAGTTATTTACTCTTTGAAACACTTATTTGTAGACGGCTAAAAATCAAATCTAGGCACAAGATCCCAATAATAAATGTAACTGTACTGTACACCTAAAATATACCAATAAACTCAATTTAAAATAAAATAAAATAAATCAAATCTATATCTTACAGTGGTTATCATCTTATACATACAAAGCCTTATGAGAAGATTGTGCTTTGCATAACAGAGTGCTCAATAAATATTAGCTACTGTTGTTAGTTGAAAACCAAGCTCTAATGCAGTCTTCTGAAGCCTGGCAGAATTGTGTTCAGGCCTTGCATTCATAATTCTATATTTTTAATAGTCCTCGGGGAGCCGGGCATTTAGCTCACTGGTTCTGCCCACGCCTCAAAAGCACAAGGACCCGAGTTCGATCCCCAGTGCCAAAAAAAAAAAGTCTTTGGGAATGAAGAGGCATGCATGCCTTGCATAGACTGTTAGGAATCCACTTTGAGTAAGGATGCTGCAGCCCCTCTGACTAATTCAGAAAAACATCTTTTTTTTTTCTTTCCTTGTTCATTTAGTTTTTCCTTCATTCGTGAGACATAACCTAGTATCAGATATAGCTGAGGACCCATATCTGGGTTGGAGATGATTATGTCTTGGGCTTTAAATAAGTACAATAAGGGGATGAAGGTGCTATTCAGAAAGTATATATGGGATGTATTTGAGGCACAGAAGAAAAAATTCATTTCTCCTTGAGAAGTCAGAGGGCTTTATAGAGGAGCAGTAGGTGGGGCAGATTTTGGTGATGAGCAGGGATTCACCAGATGGGCAAGGAGGAGGTGTGTATTACCAACAGAGGGGTAGGCATGGCCAAAACCACAGAGACACAGGTAAGCACAGCCTTCAAAGAACTGGGACGGGGTATCTGGAGTGTTGGTTTCCAGGCCAGGCAGGTGTGCCTAGAAGTGGAGGCCTCAAGTCAAGTCTTCAGGGCCCCAGAGGCCAAAGCCTCAGGAGTTTGGACTTGACCCTGGAGACAAGGGAGAGGATTAGAGGATATAAAACAGTGAGATCATGTGGGGTTTTTTCCAATTTCTATTTTTTGTAATTTATTTAGTACGTTTAGTACATAATGATTACATTCTTCAGGGGAGTTGGTACCATGAACATAACACATCTTAATTCTCTTCTCATTCCCTCCATCTCTTGGTCCCCTTCCTGTTTATAAAAGATCTATTTCCCTATTTCTTTCATGTTGCTCTTCATTTATATTTGGGGTTTCTCATATAAGACAAACTATGCAATATTTAAGCTTGTGTGTTTGATTTATTTTACCTAACATTATGGTCTTAAGCGCATCCATAGATCGCGTGGTTTTTAAAACAAAGCATTTCTTATTGTGTCCTCATCCTTGGGAATTCTCAGGACTCTATTGGAGCCATTTTCTTGTTGTCATTCAAAAAGAATGTAACTGAAAATTCATCTCCTGAATATCAGGGAGATTTGCCCAGTCATTGTGGTAACCATAGTGGGGATGTGGGAGGTAGAGAATGGCGGAGTAGACAGGAAGAAAGGCAGCACAGACTAGGTGAAATGGTGCACGTCTGTAATCCCAGCGCTTGGGAGGCTGAGGCTGAGAGATAACTGTGAATTTGAGGCCAACCTTGGTTGG